ATGTACGTTTCGTTGCCACTAGCGAACTTTGGCCACGATAAGGGCACACTCGAAGGTTCATTCGGATTTTCACTCTTAGCATAGTTTGTCCAATAAGTAGCCATTCCATGAGATATATATCGACCAACGTCAGTGAAGCGGTCCCAAAACGATTGGAAGACATAGGGTAGTTCATCTGCATGGCAAGCGTGATCTTTGCAGTTCAGCGAGTTGAGTGTATTATCAGGATAACCGAAAACATAGGAATAAGTAGCTGCTTTTCGAGCGAAAACACGAGTTGAACAAGTAAAGATCCATTCTGTCGCTATCTTAGCGATATTCGATCGTTGATCACCTGAAGGCAAAGGTGGATAATGTTCAAGAATTTTCAAGGCATTTTCACCAAAAAGACCAACGGCCATAGCCATATATTCAATCACTGTAACATTCTTTTTTAATGCACCGTAGATCATATAATAGCATTCGTCAGTTAATGAACCAATTATCAATGGTTTGAGTGGAAATGATACATTCCTTATTGTAGAAATAAGCGTTCCATGAACAATATCATTATCTATTACGGGTAGCCAGGGCTCGAGAAGAAGTAGAAGATCCAATGAGGTTAGTTTTTGGTTTACTTGATTCTGAGCAGTGATAATTTCATCAGTTGAACGAGCTCGAAAACAAGGGAAATCATTTGGAGAACAATGTAATTGCTCAGCGAGAAGGACAACAGTTGGTACATTCTCCAAGTATGTTCTACAGAAAAGTAAAGATAAGTCATTATTTTCATTGTACTCATGTTATTAAAATGTACTTGAATGGAAAATTCATTGGAGAGCTTTGAATGATTGCACGTTGAAAATATGGTTGCATCTCTTTTGTCACATAATGAAGAGCAGTTGATTGCGCACCAGAACTTTGCCCGAATAGCGTTATCTGATTAGGATCACCTCCAAATGCATCGATGTTCTGTTTCACCCAAGCGATCGCCAGACGTTGATCGAGTATTCCATAGTTACCCTTGATATCATTAGGACCGTTACCGGTTGCCAAGAAGCCAAGAACACCTGAAATGAGATTAACCCTTCAGATGAGCATTGCAGAAATGCACCAAACTGACCTAATCGATGCTGGATTAAGGCAATAATAATATTTGTGTTATTGACTAAGTGCTCGGATTTATAGGGTGAGGCCGATGCAGAATTAAATTGGAAATCACCACCAGGAATAAAAATCATCACAGGAAGAGGATTCATCGATGATAAGTTACTCGACAATGGTGTGAAAATATTCAAATAAAGACAATCTTCAGACGTCTAAATGAGGGTGTATATGACATGAGAATTAGGCTTTCTTTTCAGATCATCGGCTTACAATTGGTAGAGTGGTGTATCTTACTGATCGTTTTGATTGTGGCACAGGAGGTTGTGGGCAAGCAGGTGGTGGTTGTGTAGCATTGATCATTTTCGGAGTCCATCGGACCACCGGCACAGGTGCTTCCCATCTATTCACAAACAAACACAAGTGAAAAAGAGCATTCGTGTAGTTCGTTACCTCAATGGGCCTACAGGTGGTTGAGCAAAGGGAATTCCATAGAACACTCGAGATAGATTCGTCTGATATCCTAATATGTCACCGTACTGAGTGTGAACAACGACAGGTTCATTAGCCAAAATAGTTGGAAATAGAGTGGCCAGAATAAAAAGCAAGATCATTCTGTTGGTCGACAGTGTTTCTTTTCACTAACGTAAATGCACACCTTGTTTGGCTTCTAAACGAATGATAAGAAAAGGTAACTATCACGCAGTTGCACAAATGTCGACAGATGTGATAACGAAGGTGCGAGACGTTTCTTTGGATCGAATACACAATTAATTAGTTGAATATTCCAGATCAACAATCGAAAAAAGACACTACACGTTTTCGAATATTTTCGTTTTTCAATCGGATTTTCTTAATACAATGTCAGCGCATGAAAAATAACATTTCTGTCACTTATGTGTGATATTTTTAATCGACATACACAAATTCCATTTTTGGAGTTTTATCAGCATGTTTAAGTAGGCCAATCTCAGTAAACTATGACTACGAAACGATTTGCAAGCTTCTATTGAGAACATCATAACAAAAACGTTCTCCGTAGTTCTTATGTGTATGATTCCATCGAGCAAGACAAGTAAACACCAGTATTGCTATCTAAGCATAACTTATTGTTGTCAGCAATGTATTAACAAAAGAAATATGAAGCAGTCAGTATTCTGTTGATCAGTTGGTGCTATCTATTGGAATTGATTTATCATTCAGCTAGGCAGATGGATATCGATGGACTTCGATACCACAATACTATTTGTAATTATGTTTATACTCCCTACGACAGAATACAATGCAAATTAAAAAGATTCCCTCTATTTAGTAGCTTTTACCGATGAGGTTTCAAGGAAAAATTCGTGAATAAATGTTACGAAATCAGCAATTTATTTGATCGATAAGCGTAAATCTACATTCTAAAGTTCCATACGAAGTGTGTAGACGCGCGCAGAGTTGAATTCAGATAACAGAGACACCGACATACTGTTGTCCACTATTCAAGCTGAACACTGCTTTAATCCAGAAAGATATGTTATAAACAGTGCCAATTGTGACGCCAAAAGATTGTTGCAATTGATCGGCGCAACTCGAGCTTCCATCAACTATATAATAGGAGCCTGTTCTTGGTATGAGTCCCGCAAAAAAATTATTTGTATTCGAAGTACTGGCTGCTATGCCATTACAATTTCCGTTGGGTGTTGTTCGAACCCATGGCGACAGAATGCCCGTCTCAAATCCTCCATTTATAAGCTTTTCAACACCACCTGAAGTAACAGACACATCATCTAAACACCAGCTGCTTGGTGCGTTTTGCATTCGAAAGGCTATGGTGGCATTTCTTGTGGTTAATGCTGTCCATGAAAAATAATAATTTTGGTATGCAACGACGAGACCATAGTCATTTGATACGTTCCACAGTTGAGTAGGCGTTTGATCTGAATTGAAAACAGTATCAACAGTGAGGGTGAGAATGTAAAAGAAAAAACAAGCGCAGCTCCTACTAAGTATAGATGACTTACTTGTCGTAGTCGTTGTTGAAGAAGTTGCTAAAATAAGCGTCGATAACAATTTCAGTGACAAGTTTATCGTAGAGAGTCATGAAAAAATGATTAACACTCACTGGTAGTACGAGTAGTCATGCTGATCGCTAGAATATCAATATGTACAATTTAATTAGCTGCCTTTGTGAACAAAACAAATTTTACTTGATGTTGTGCTAGCTAAATCATGACATACGACACGATAATCAGTAAATTGAATGATGTGATACAAGAATAGGTTTACTTACTGGTCGTGCGTATGGTGGTACTGCTCGTCACTAAAGCAACAGAGTGTGTAGGATTGATAATAAACTTAGCAGAAAAAAAACAGATCTCACTTGAAGTGGTGGATGTTGTACTAGCTAAAACGATCAAATGCATCGAAATATAGTAAAAATACCACAAAGTGTAATTCGAGATAAATTATTACTTACTGATTGTGTGATTGGTTCCGCTAGTTGCTGAAAGGAAAATAGATCTTACAGTTTTAACTTTCAAAACAGCACCTTTAGATGGTAGATACAAGGAAAGTCAAACTCAGTATTCACATTTTAGAAGTAAAAAGTGAACGCCTACATTCATCAAGTGCAATGACTTCATAGACAAGTTCGTTCTACTTACTTGCATTATTCAACCAGGTTGTAGTATTGTCTAGAAGAAAATGAAAACAATTATAAATCTCAATAGCGTTTGTGGTGAACCCTCTTGAAACACGAGAGTGATTCATATATTATCCTTGCTCTTCTAGTCAGTTCATGTGTCGCACCTGTCTGTGATGATACATTGTATGGGCGCATAATGATAGTCGAGTTATTCGTAGCTACCAGCATCGATGCTACCATCGGATAATGATCAAAGAGTTCACATCGACTAGCATTCGCATAGAAGTTCAACAACACAATGGACGATGAGTTGTCAGCGAAAGCGTTGCATATACATTGAAGACGAGTCTGATTAAATAGTATCAAGGAGTAATTGCTCGTTGCATACATTCGATTATCCAGAATGGCAACTTGTAATGATGTTACTACATGCATTAGTATAAAAAGCAGGAGACCAGACATCGAACTAAATGAATTGATAAAGGAACTGTCAAAGAGTGTCAAGTACTTGAAGTTTGAATGAGATTTATTACCATAGGTGTATAGGACACGGCAAAAACAGGTACATCTCAACTTTCAATTACGGCTTCTCGATAGGAAAGGTGCACGGTTAGCGGACAAGATTGCAACGTCATTATGCACATAAGAGTGCGCGAAGGAGTTGATAAGTAAATGATATTTCCGAAATTACCTATCTTCTCGATAGAAATTTCTGTTTTATATTTGTTCAACACCGGAGTACTATTTGTTTAAAAAAAATTAATCAAACGTTCGAACTTTTATTATTAATCAAAGAAAATAAGTTTTGACCTTATGGATTCAATCTCTTTTATTCACCTCGAGTGTATATGACGATATAAACAAGGATAAAATCATCACATTCCTTGAAATTTCTTTCCGTTAATATACTCTTTCAACGGAAACAACCTAAATATAGCCTTAACTTATACTAATCGTGTTCTCTTTCTTCATCTGTCCCAACATACGCTTATTTCAGATAAGAATATCTTTCTTTTTTTTTTCTCTTGGTATCAACCGAACACAAATACATTTCTCGACGATACAAACAAGATGTACTGTATCACATAGAACGCAAAACAAAACATTTTCTTTTATAAGAGAAACATCAACGATGCCATTGAAACAGAAATATTACGTCCATTCTGCTCATATTTACAATCGAACGGCGCAAGCGATCAACTTAAAAATTTACTACTGTGGTGAGAATCAACATCACGAACATGAAATGATACGTCTAAACCAATTGGAAGGCCATGGCGGACATTATTTTGCTGAAACGCGCTCCTATGCTGACGCGCATATGATCATCGACCGGCATATTTACAAAATCGAAGTCGAAACTGCGGATGGCAAAACATTGGAAATCAAATGGCCGTACGACGGTTTAGTCGACCATCATGAAAAAGAATGGCAATTCGATGTTGAAGATGATGGAATCAAATCAATTAACCCACGTGTCTGAAATTTTTCGCGTTATATAAGCTTTCAAATAAGCAGAAGGCTTTTATTTGTTTAAATACTATCTACACAAAAAATCTCGAATGATGAATTGCTATCATTACGTATATGATTACTATATAGGTTATTATAAATGCAAATGTATAACCATATTTAGTATGTTCGAATAAAATTCTCTCGGGCGTATGTAATTCAATTTTATTACAATATGGAAATCCTATACTTATATATTAGAAGAAACTCTTACTATCACCATGAGAAGTCCTCTGATTTGAAATATTGTCTCTAGATCTTTCTTCTTACCAATATGTTAAGCATACACATGTATGATCAATAAGAAAAATATAAACTGCGGAAATGGCATTTTGCTTCAGAAGTATTGCGATTACTTTCTGAGTGGATACAAGGACAAGTTTATTTTCACAAAATGTACGATTTGTTTGAAAACTGAATCGTATACATGGCATGCATGAGTTGATTCATATCATCGGATTCGCCGAATGTCAGTGTGAAGGCAAATAAATAACCGTTTTCAGTACTTCGAAAGAATCGAATCTGTTCAAGAGTAGATACGTTGAGAAATTTCACTTTAAGATCCTTCCGGGCATATTTCACTCCATTGATCTCATAAGGATAACATTCAGACATATTCTCCAAAGTGAACATCTTCGGAAAGGCATTTTCATTGTCTTTGAAGAAATCGCAATCATTGTGAAATGTCGTCCTTTTTGCTATACGTTCAACGAATCCAATGATATTCGCATTGGTACGACCAGGTCTTGAACCCATTCGATATGCCGAAAAGCCAAATAACGGAATAACACGATGAGATTTAAACGCAGCAGTACCGTTTGGAATAAAAAGATGAAGTTCTTTCAAAGTCATTGTGTACCATTCAGCAGGTTTCTTCATTGAAACACCAAAGTAAATGTTCTCGTACACGTCGGCATGAGTATTTTTCGTTTCGAATAACGGGACACTTGTGTCAGTTGGTTTAGCATAAGCATGTTCTATCAGTGAGAAAATTAGAAACCATTGAAATACCATTTTGCTTGAACAGTATCGTATTTGTGTTCAATCCGAATATTTATACACGGAACAATTCCACACCGTGAAAAAAGTACGAAATGCAATTAGAAATGGGTATCAATAGAAATATCATCATCTTGAGAGTGGGTGTAGTGGAACTAATGATCGAATCGTTAACAGCAGAACGCAAGAGAAACTAAACGTGTTTTTTTATGAGATGAAGAATAAAATGTATTTGTTTTGCACTCGTTCTTATCATTGCATAAAGTGGAAGAAAAGAAGTGTATATCTTGAATTTAGTTTTGACATACAAACAACGCGGTTTCATTGTAAACGATGCATATACTCGTTCTTGCATGTGACTATACTCTCTACACTGATGAATTATCGAAAGCAAATCTTAGTTTACAGTTTACTGCAGGCAACGAGGCATCTAATGTAATCGATGCCGCTAGAGAATGTCCTATATGGTTAGGAGATCCTCATTTAGTTGCAGAACTACTGCGTTTGAATATCAAACCTAAATGGATTCAATCGACCTGGGCAGGTGTTTCACCTTTGCTGGCAGATGATTTACCACGCGATTATATATTGACCAGAGCGGTCGGTGTTTTCGGGCAGCTAATGGCCGAATATCTATTAACGTATCTTCTCGCACACGAACGTCAAGTGATGAAACGAATCGATCATCAAAAAGAAGAGAAATGGTGTGATCTACAACCAGGTACTCTCAAAAACCGGCAACTTCTTATTGTTGGAGCTGGAGATATTGGTTGTGTTGTCGCTCAAATGCTATCGCCTTTTGGTGTCGATCTCATTGGAATCGTCAATACAACTCGTCCTCTTACTTCATTTCGTCTTTGTGGAACACTGGACGATCTTCCTCGTTTAGTAGAGACTGCAGACTACGCAGTTAATCTCCTACCTAACACACCAAAAACACAGAATATTTGGAATGCATCATTATTTGCTCGAATGAAGCCAACAGCTCTGTTTATCAACGTTGGACGTGGCAGTGCAGTTGTCGATGCTGATCTCATCATGGCTTTGGAACAGAAATGGTTAGCAGGTGCAATAATCGATGTTTGTCGAGAAGAACCATTACCAGCTCAACATCCATTTTGGCATACACAAGGACTCATTCTTACTAGCCATAGTGCTGCACCGTCTCTTGCGTGTCCTATCGTTGAACTTTTCTGTGACAATCTGAATCGATTCTGTAACAATCTCAGCATGCGTGGCCGAGTTGATTTTGATCGTAGTTATTAAAGGATGTAAGTTTCCGAAATAATCGGCGTTTAACATCCAAGCATATTTTGAATAGAATCAAGCAAATCATTGTATACAGACGAATAATAAGCACATCGAAAAATTATACAATGATTATTTATTCAGAAAAGAAGCATCAGTACAGCAAGCTACATCTTAATATAGTGTCTTTTCGCTTATAGCTCGTTTACGAAACAAAATTGATATTTACTGACACGGTGTTACTCTAGAGCATCTACTTCGGTATTTTACCATACAAAAAACACTGAATTTCACGACCTGTGGTACAATTAGTCTCAACACCGTAATCAATCCACCTAATAGTCCGATGATTGTTGTAACTATGTAAACTGCACCGTTCTTCGTTTCAAAAGTATAGGTACAGATTGATGGATTACATGCACTGTAATAATTCTCGTACTGTATCGAGTCATTCCATTGTTCAACCATTAGTTGATCAAGGAGCTGTTCGATCGTCGAGTTTACACTAAACCGAACTAATAACGATGGACGCAGAGCTGTCAAATTCCTAGACCGTGTTCTGATATAAACTATAGTTGATAATATGGAATTGATACAATCGTAGTCATAAAAACATCGAAGATCAGATTGAAGTAGTGCCTCGATCGGATAACATGCTGTATAAATACCGGGCACATAGAACGATATTGTATTAGTTAAGCCGGAATGAATTCCAGATTCATAACCACAATGACTTGATGCAACGCAGCTACAGTCACCATAGGATCGTGGCAGTGACTGTAATGGAGTAGTTCCAGTTTTTGTCAACAGTTGATAATTAGTCAGTTGACCGGAGATTAAAGCGTTACTTTGTGTCGTATTTCTTATTGTTGAAAGTGATAGGATGAATTCATTAGTTGTTGATGAGATAAATTGTGAGGTAAACAATTTGCTTTGAGAATACAACACTTTCACTGGCGTAACAGTTCCACTAACATATTGAGTAGTGTAAAACTGGGCCAGCCGATTGCTTATCGTCATGTTGATTAACTGGCAAAATGATGACAACACTTGAAATAGCCATGTGCCGATTAATCGAAAGTCGTCGAATATGAACTCACCAACAACAAAATAATTGAAGCCAATGTAGTTTTTGAGCCATTCTTCGCTGACGAAAAAGCTACTACATACCTGATGGAATGAATATTTCATTTCAATGAAAGTCTCATAACTGATTGATATTTGTGTGCATGCACAAGTAAGTGTTTGTGGATAAGATAAATAATAGGAGGAGTACTCGCGAAGGGATGGCGAGTTGATGTGGACAGTTTGTGTAATGGTGACTAGTGAGTTGTAGAGAAGTAGAATGGTTAATGATATGACGAGAAGGAGAATGAATAATCTCGTAGAGATGCGCTGATTTTGTAGTTTATGCTCGTCAGTTGATGGTGGCACAGACGGAAATACATTGAGAGTTCTCAAGAACGAGATGAGCTGTTGACTTAACCTTCTCAGCCGCTGCTTAATGCTAATCACTAAAAAAACGTACGTCGTTTATTCAGTATGTAGACAGATGATGCAGAAAAACGGAGTCACATTTTTTAAAATAAACAGCACGGGAATAATCACCTTTGGTGACAAATCTCTCGATCGTAGAGCTCAGTTTTCATTATGGATGTTCAATACCTACTTTCATTTACATTCAGCATGGGTATCCTTAGCGACAAAAGTGTTGAGAAACACTATTTAACATAGTAGAATAAAGTACTTTATTAGTTTCTTAAAATGAGTCCTCTTAATATTTTCGAGAATGTCGTAGTTTTCAAACAATGCTAGGGAAACCGCAGATTTCCCTTCGGAAGTTTTATTAAACCAGCCTGTAAAAAAAGATGAAGAATAGATCTCAATATATATATATATATATAAAGAAGAAAGTTTGTTTGTTTGTTTGTTTTTTCGCTATGCATTCAGTCCCTGCAGTAGCTATCGGCGTGAAACTTTCCACAATGCTTCCTGAGACCCAGAAGAAGGTCGACATCTACTTTGTTCCGAGAAAAAATCACCCAGGCGTCTGCTACAGACAATCTATAAAGCTGACCAATAGGATTGCAGGATTTCAAAAGTGGATGCAATCACTAGAGAAGACGGCCGAAGACCATTTGAGCGCTCAAAGACTACCGTCCGCGTGTTCTCTACGCCTATGATAGTTCGGTGAATGCTACAGATAATCCGCGAAACTCACCAATAGCGTCACAGGATCTCAAAAGATTAAGATAAATGTTGAGGGTGGGTGAATTCGAAGTAGTAGCGTAACCAGGATTTTGACGGTGGGGGGGCTCAACCACCTAAATCGCTCTTCTAGGAGGGGCTCGTAGTATGATTTAACAGTAAAAATCTAGTCCGGTGGGGGGGCTCACAGGCCCGGTGGAGGGGCTGAGCCCCCCCTGGCCACCCCCTGGTTACGCCACTAATTCGAAGGATATAAGGTATGAAGTGACGTGAAAGTGAGAAAGAAGCCGATGAATGAATAGCTGAAGTGGAAAATGAATATCAGAGAAAGAGGAAATTTTCATAATTTCCGAGGCAGAAATTAACTTCGGTCACTCTTTTGCATAAAAATATATAGCCGAAACTGTCATTTTATGCGATGCACGGCGGGAAAATAAGGACTGGAAGCGTAGAAATTTGAATTATACTGATTTTCTACCTGTTATAGCTCTTCAACCCGTGAGATGTTCGACATAGATATTTCTTATTTGCAGCGGGTACTCCCTCTAGTTATATATAAACCGAAAGTGAATATTGTCGAGAGAGAAGGATTAGGCGAGAAAAAAGGTGCCAACCCAAAGAAATGCTGCCGTTCTCTGCACTACGTTTTGAAAATAAACAACAGTTCACATAGTCATCCTTATATCGATTGTGAGTATATGCTGTCGATGTAGTGATTTTCAAATCTGACTTACCCATCTCTGGCCTTCTAGATTCTTTCTTTTTTCTTACAAGCTTCACTGCTCGTGGTACAATCAGTCTCAATACTGTAATCAAACCACCTAATAGTCCGATGATTGTTGTAACTATGTAAACTGCACCGTTCTTCGTTTCAAAAGTATAGGTACAGATTGATGGATTACATGCACTGTAATAATTCTCGTACTGTATCGAGTCATTCCATTGTTCAACCATTAGTTGATCAAGGAGCTGTTCGATCGTCGAGTTTACACTAAACCGAACTAATAATGATAGATGCAGAGGCTCGGAATCTGCTGATAAATGAGACATAAAATAGGATTTTACGTCGTCAATACAAGTTCCGTTATAAAAACATTGAAGATCTGATTGAAGTAATGCTTCCACTACAAAACATCCCGTATACATACCCGATACATAGAGTGATACAAGATCAGACGAGTTAATATATATTCGGGATTGGTAAGCACACAGGGATGAAGATCCACAATCACAATCATTATATTTGGAGACAATGGAAGCTGTGCCGGAGTATGATCGTTCGGTGCCCAGCAAATAATAATTAGTAAATTGCCCAGAAAGTAAAGCATTACTTTTGGTCGTATTTCTGATTGTGGTAAGTGACAACCGAAAATCGTTGACCGTCGATAAGATGAATTGTGAAGTAAATGCTTTACCTTGAGAATGCAACACTTTTATTGGTGTAACAGTTCCACTTACATATCGAGTGGTATAGAATTGAGATAATCTATTCCGAACTGTCGCAGTGACTAAGTAACAGAACGAACTCAGTGCTTGAAACATTGATGTGCTAAGTAGTCGAAAGTCATCCAAGTGTGTTGTGGTATTTGTGCGAAAAGTAGCAAGATAGTCGATCCACTGTCGAGTGACGAGAAAGCTGCTACATACCTGATGGAATGAATATTTCATTTCAATGAAAGTCTCATAGCTGATTGATATTTGTGTGCATGCACAAGTAAGTGTTTGTGGATAAGATGAATAATAGGAGGAATATTCGTGAAGGGATGGTGAGTTGATGTAGACAGTTTGTGTAATGGTGACTAATGAGTTGTAGAGAAGTAGAATGGTTAATGATATGACAAGAAGGAAAATAAATAGTCGTGTAGAGATGCGCTGATTTTGTAGATCATGTTCATCAGTTGATGGTGGTACAGACGGGAACAAGTTGTATGTACAAAGATACTTTTTTACTGTGCACATAAAGACATGTATTTGCTGTATATCAAATCCTTTCATAGAACGATAGAAAAATGGTAAATGCGCATGGTCACATAGACGAATCTGTATTCTTACTCGTATTCAATGTTGTTGCTTGCTTTTTCCTTCGTAGGAGCATCACTACTGGAGGTATAATCAGTTTCAACACCGTAATCAAACCACCTAATAGTCCGATGATTGTTGTAACTATGTAAACTGCACCGTTCTTCGTTTCAAAAGTATAGGTACAGATTGATGGATTACATGCACTGTAATAATTCTCGTACTGTATCGAGTCATTCCATTGTTCAACCATTAGTTGATCAAGGAGCTGTTCGATCGTCGAGTTTACACTAAACCGAACTAATAATGATAGATGCAGAGGCTCGGAATCTGCTGATAAATGAGACATAAAATAGGATTTTACGTCGTCAATACAAGTTCCGTTATAAAAACATTGAAGATCTGATTGAAGTAATGCTTCCACTACAAAACATCCCGTATACATACCCGATACATAGAGTGATACAAGATCAGACGAGTTAATATATATTCGGGATTGGTAAGCACACAGGGATGAAGATCCACAATCACAATCATTATATTTGGAGACAATGGAAGCTGTGCCGGAGTATGATCGTTCGGTGCCCAGCAAATAATAATTAGTAAATTGCCCAGAAAGTAAAGCATTACTTTTGGTCGTATTTCTGATTGTGGTAAGTGACAACCGAAAATCGTTGACCGTCGATAAGATGAATTGTGAAGTAAATGCTTTACCTTGAGAATGCAACACTTTTATTGGTGTAACAGTTCCACTTACATATCGAGTGGTATAGAATTGAGATAATCTATTCCGAACTGTCGCAGTGACTAAGTAACAGAACGAACTCAGTGCTTGAAACATTGATGTGCTAAGTAGTCGAAAGTCATCCAAGTGTGTTGTGGTATTTGTGCGAAAAGTAGCAAGATAGTCGATCCACTGTCGAGTGACGAGAAAGCTGCTACATACCTGATGGAATGAATATTTCATTTCAATGAAAGTCTCATAGCTGATTGATATTTGTGTGCATGCACAAGTAAGTGTTTGTGGATAAGATGAATAATAGGAGGAATATTCGTGAAGGGATGGTGAGTTGATGTAGACAGTTTGTGTAATGGTGACTAATGAGTTGTAGAGAAGTAGAATGGTTAATGATATGACAAGAAGCAAAATAAACAGTCGTGTAGAGATGCGCTGATTTTGTAGATCATGTTCATCAGTTGATGGTGGTACAGACGGAAATAGATTAAGATTCTTCAGAAACAACTTGATTTTTAACCATAATTCCCAAAGGTTCATTGTAAGTCGCGTTCCCAAAATGAAAATCTCGAGGAAAAATGAATGCGATTATTAGCAGCGCAGTGATGGCGTACAGTACGAGAAATGCCTTGGAAATAAATAGTAGAATATTCTATGAAATGAAAAATGATAGAGAAGTAAAGGTGGGTATTATTGAGTTTAAAATGTTGTTTCGATGGATAGCGTTGTCGGACGGAAATGAAAAATAATTATAAACCAAGTGACATAATCATTTCGATATTTAATTGAAAAAAGGGAAAGTGGCTTTTATTGTTTTGACTGGAAATGAGATTTTATAATAAGGAGTTGAAGAAATCTACATCAGGTAAAATATATATAGGCAAATCAGGTGTTTGAGTTGAATAGGGTTTTTCAAAGAAACAGCTCACTTTTTGACATAGTTGTCAGAAATGAAGATATAGGATTAATTTCTACTATACAATAGTCTGTATAAACATGGATAGCCGGTGTTATGTGCATGTGAATCATGCAACGATACAATTGTGTTTCTATTTATTAACATCTATTCTGACTCAACGTTGTTCGATTCATTGATGAACCATTTGAACTGACATTTTGAGAGGTTGAAAGTTTTGACAGACACTCTTCCTCTTTATAACCAACTTTTCAAAAGAAATAAAAGTACGCCATTATCTCAAATGCAGTATATTGCTATTCACAGTACCATCATTGCATTCAATTTACTCAAAAAGAATATTAGAGTAAAAGTAGAGTTCACTCTTTTTATCATGTTTCGATTGAGACCGGCTTTTATCGTTTTAATCTTCGACATGTTGGTTTTGAATTCGAGTATTCGAATTAACAAGCTATCTTCTTGTATTTATATTCCATTATCTTGGCCTACAACCCCGTCAGCGTTGTTTACTTATTCATCCAGTTGCGAAGAGTGTTTATGCTATAAATATAGTTCAACAAGTAATTCTGTTGCGATGAATTGTTTGACAAACATACCTTTATGTCAATTCTATTCAAATTATGCAAATAATTATTCGATTGTATGGAACTCGACAAGTGACTTTTACTTTTTCCAACCATTACCATCGATGATCACCACGCCAACGATGACATCAACTCCGCCAAATCCGGAAATTATGTCGACTGATGTTACTATTCCATCAGCAGTGTCGACAACATCCTCGACTTCATATCAATGTGGCAATATGACAGTTCTTATTGGCTATGACTTCTACGGTAATGATTTGGCTTTAGCTACTACTCCAGACTACATCGCTTGTTGCCACTGGTGTCAAAGTAACAGCAGTTGTACTACATTTACATGGGTTGTGCCAACGGGAGGCGGAACTAGCTCAACTTGTTATCTCAAAACAAGCCATGCATCGCCGTCTAACGATTCGAGACTTGTCAGTGCATATAAATAAAAATACTGTGTATTAAGAGTAATGTCATGAATTATGGTGATCATTGCTATTCTTGAGGATGAAAATTACGATACATGGCATAACCATGCAAAAGATGATCCACTAAATATAAATAGTACATTGCTTTTCTAGTTGTCATGCATGCTTTGCCGCATCATTTAAACATAGATAAGCACCATGGATGATGTCTCTCATCAACATTCTCTTGTTATTCGCCATTATTATCGGCTGTTCTTCTGATTCGATAGTCGATCAAGGTACAATATATGATTGAGGTGATCCAACGAATCCTTCGCAAGTTTTATACGAAGGACGCCATCCACGAGACGTTTGCCCTGTTAGTTATTTACAACAGCAGCTCAAAGAAAATGTTGCTTATTGTTATAAGAACAGTACAACGATGCAAAAAGACGGTGCTGCGATGGGTACACTGTGACGTGGTCTTGCACATTCTCTCTGTGCTGGTTTGTGTCCAAATCGGATACTGTGTGTGGAGTAGTGAGTGATCATGTGGGACAAACATACAATGGATTGCTATTGCGAACACGCCCATTTGGATATTACGCAGTTGACTACGGAAAAGAATGGGATTGGCATGCTCGTTTCAAAAAAAAAGATTATCCATGATTGTTTTTGTTCCATAATAAAAAAATACGATCAAGTCGAGCAGAAGTTCGGAAATGACATGAGCAACTGTGTTTAAATTCGAACAGTTGTGATGTGGCTATCATATAAATGCATAACAGTCATATTTTTATCGTACATATATACTTTTGAGAGTATAAAACTATGTTGAAAAGTATGGGCTGAGTCCGTAAGGAATACGTCGATAATCAACGGGAAGTGAAATCAGAAATCGCTTTCATATTTATATGTTTCTAAATGCAAGACACGGTGCATTATTTTTACCATTTGTGAAAATTTTGCTGTAAATTCCGTCACATACATTATTGTAGCAAATACAAAAGGGGGCAGGCGTGTCGTTTTGTCTTTCTACATGGAATAGAAGAAAACGAACAGAACGGAAGTAACTGCAGTAACTAATAACATGAATCTGGTATTTTTTCCAGCGGCATCTTTTATTCTATAACAAAAATAAAATAAAATTTGTAAATTTAAGTTATTCTTTCAAAAAATTTCATGTGGAAAAACTATTCACTCGGACTATATTAATCTACCAATCAGACGTATGGATTGAATAGTGAATAGTTCATTTATTACTTGGAAATTTCCGACTAAAGTATTCCACGACGCTTCATTGTTATTTTGGTAATTCCTCCTGCAAACATATACCTGTAACACAAAGACAGTCGTAGCATTTGATATATCAAACAGTTGGCAAGTATTGTATGCTACTCGTAGTGATGCTATATTCGATGTTTTAACACATGCTGAATACTCTTCTCATATTACTTCCTTGTTAGGTGTAGTGGATTTCTATTCTGATATTAAAGAATATTGTGTGTTCTCGTAAGACTCGAACTGAGGAACTTCCGCCTCTCATTATAGCAAAGTATTGTATTTGACAGATCTTATTTTATTAGTTTTGATCTTTTAGTTGCAAATCGGTATTGACTATGAGCGTACTTATCGATAAATATTCGGAAACACCATCATTGGAAGAACAATCAGCAGAATCATCAAATGTTTGTAATCACGACTCAAAAACCGTTAAAGTTTCACATAGACGGAAGATATTGGCGCTACACGAACCTGTTGATCGTCTTGAACATCCGCAATTACAATATTTTTATTCAGGTTTGCCTACTTATGAATAGAAGGCGTTAGCTAATTTAAATAATAAACGACTGACAAAAACCTTCTATTATTGCTTTAGTGAATCGTGTATTTGTTGGAATCGTAATATTAGCGAATATGGATTCGATGCCGAATATTCCATTTTCGGTCTCAAAAACTTTCGTTAAAGTCGACATCCCAATTCAAATCTTTGCTGAAGAAGAAGCATTATTTGTGACGATCAAGTCAAACNGTTTGTCGAGAAGAACCATTACCAGCTCAACATCCATTTTGGCATACACAAGGACTCATTCTTACTAGCCATAGTGCTGCACCGTCTCTTGCGTGTCCTATCGTTGAACTTTTCTGTGACAATCTGAATCGATTTTGTAACAATCTCAGCATGCGTGGCCGAGTTGATTTTCATCGTAGTTATTAAAGGATGTAAGTTTTCGAAATAATCAGCGTTCAACATGCAAGCATATTTTGAATAGAATCAAGCAAATCATTGTATACAGACGAATAATAAGCACATCGAAAAATTATACAATGATTACTTATTCAGAAAAGAAGCATCACTACAGCAAGCTACGTCTTAATATAGTGTCTTTTCGCTTATAGCTCGTTTACGAAACAAAATTGATATTTACTGACTCGGTGTTATTCTAGAGCCTCTACTTCGGTATTTTACCATACAAAAAACACTGAACTTCACTGCTCGTGGTACAATCAGTTTCAACACTGTAATCAAACCGCCCAATAGTCCGATGATTGTTGTAACTATGTAAACTGCACCGTTCTTCGTTTCAACAGTATAGGTACAGATTGATGGATTGCATGCATTGTAATAGTTCTCGTATTGTGTCGAGTCATTCCATTGTTCAACCATTAGTTCATCAAGGAGCTGTTCGATCGTCGAGTTTGCAGTAAACCGAACTAATAACGATGGACGCATGGCCGTCAGATTCCAAAACATTGGGATGCCATAGGATATACTTGATAATATGGAATTGATACAATCGTAGTCATAAAAACATCGAAGATCAGACTGAAGTAGTGCCTCGATCGGATAACATGCTGTATAAATACCGGGCACATAGAATGATACTGTATCAGTCAAGACGGAATGAATTCCGGATTCATAACCACAATGACTTGATACAACGCAGCTACAGTTACCATAGGATCGTGGCAGTGACTGTAATGGAGTAGATCCAGTTTTTGTCAACAGTTGATAATTAGTCAGTTGACCGGAGATTAAAGCGTTACTTTGTGTCGTATTTCTTATTGTTGAAAGTGATAGGATGAATTCATTGGTTGTTGATGAGATAAATTGTGAGGTAAATAATTTGGTTTGAGAATACAACACTTTCATTGGTGTAACAGTTCCACTAACATATTGAGTAGTGTAAAACTGGGCCAGCCGATTGCTTATCGTCATGTTGATTAACTGGCAAAATGATGCCAAAACTTGAAATAGCCATGTGCCGATCAATCGAAAGTCGTCGAATATGAACTCACCAACAACAAAATAATTGAAGCCAATGTAGTTTTTGAGCCACTCTTCGCTGACGAAAAAGCTACTACATACCTGATGGAATGAATATTTCATTTTAATGAAAGTCTCATAACTGATTGATATTTGTGTGCAAGCACAAGAAAGTGTTTGTGGATAAGATGAATAATAGGAGGAGTATTCGTGAAGGGATGGTGAGTTGATGTAGACAGTTTGTGTAATGGTGACTAATGAGTTGTAGAGAAGTAGAATGGTTAATGATATGACGAGAAGGAGAATGAATAATCTCGTAGAGATGCGCTGATTTTGTAGATCATGTTCATCAGTTGATGGTGGTACAGACGGAAATACATTGAGAGTTTTCAAGAACGAGATGAGCTGTTGGCTTAACCTTCTCAGCCGCTGCTTAATGCTAATCACTAAAAAAACGTACGTCGTTTATTCAGTATGTAGAGAGATGATGCAGAAAAACGAAGTCACATTTTTTAAAATAAACAGCACGGGAATGATCACCTTTGGCGACAAACACTACTTAACATAGTAGAATAAAGTACTTTATTAGTTTCTTAAAATGCGTGCTTATAATATTTTCTAGAATGTCTTAGTTTTCAGACAATGCTTCCTGAGACTCAGAAGAAGGTCGACATCTACTTTGTACCGAGAACAAATGACTCAGGCGTCCGCTACAGGCAACCTGTGAAGCTGACCAATAGGATCGCGGGATGTGAAAAATTGCAGCGGGTCGGTAGCGAAAGCCCTCTGAGTGCTCAAAAACAACCGTCCGCGTGTTCTCTACGACTATGATCGTTCGGTGAATGCTACAGAAAACCCGCGAAGCTCACCAACAGCGTTGCAGAATCTCAAAAGATTAAGATAAATGTTGAGCGGGGATGAATTCGAAGGATATATAAGGTATGATATGACGTGAGAGCGAGAAAGAGGTCGATAAATGCATAGCGGAAGTGGAAAATGAATATTAGAGAAAGAGGAAGTTTTCGTAATTTCTGAGGCAGAAATTAGCTTCGGTAACTCTTTTGCGTAAAAATATATAGCCGAAGCTGCCATTTTATGCGATGCACGGCGGAGAAAATAAGGACTGGAACCTTAGAAATTTGAATTATACTGATTTTCTACGTGTTATAGCCCTTCAACACGTGAGATATTCGACATAGATATTTCTTATTTGTAGCGTGTACTCTGTCTAGTTATATACAAATCGAAAGTAAATATTGTCGAGAGAGAAGGATGAGGCGAGAAAAGAGGTGCCGACTCAAGGTAATGGTGCTGTTCTCTGCACTACGTTTTAAAAATTAACAACAGCTCACATAGTCTTCCTTATATCCATTATGAGTGTATGCTGTCGATGTAGTGATTTTCAAATCTGACTTACCCATCCGTGGCCTTCTAGATTCTTTCTTTTTTCTTACAAGCTTCACTGCTCGTGGTACAGTCAGTTTCAACACTGTAATCAAACCGCCCAATAGTCCGATGATTGTTGTAACTATGTAAACTGCACCGTTCTTCGTTTCAACAGTATAGGTACAGATTGATGGATTGCATGCATTGTAATAGTTCTCGTATTGTGTCGAGTCATTCCATTGTTCAACCATTAGTTCATCAAGGAGCTGTTCGATCGTCGAGTTTGCAGTAAACCGAACTAATAACGATGGACGCATGGCCGTCAGATTCCAAAACATTGGGATGCCATAGGATATACTTGATAATATGGAATTGATACAATCGTAGTCATAAAAACATCGAAGATCAGACTGAAGTAGTGCCTCGATCGGATAACATGCTGTATAAATACCGGGCACATAGAATGATACTGTATCAGTTGAACCATGATAAATTACAGACTGAAAACTACACAAAGGTGTAGATCCACAATCACATTCCTCATACAATACTGACCGCGCCACTATATATTCGTCGACCCTTCGGAAAAATTCATAATTCGTCTGTAGAGCAGTAACTAAACCGTTGCTCTGCGTGGTATTTCTGATTGTGGTAAGTGACAACCGAAAGTCGTCGGTCGTCGATACGATGAACTGTGAAGTGAATGCTTTACCTTGAGAATACAGCACTTTCATTGGCGTAACAGTTCCACTTACATATCGAGTGGTATAGAATTGAGATAATCTATTCCGAATCGTCGCAGTGACTAAGTAGCAGAATGAGCTCAGTCCTTCAAACATTGATGTGCTAACTAGTCGAAAATCATCCAAGTGTGTTGTGGAATTTGTGCGAAAAGTAGCAAGATAGTCGATCCATTGTTGAGTGACGAGAAAGCTGCTACATACCTGGTGGAATGAGTATTTTATTTTAATGAAAGTCTCATAACTGATTGATATTTGTGTGCATGCACAAGAAAGTGTTTGTGGATACGATGAATAGTAGGAGGAATATTCGTGAAGGGATGGCGAGTTGATGTAGACAGTTTGTGTAATGGTGACTAATGAGTTGTAGAGAAGTAGAATGGTTAATGATATGACGAGAAGGAGAATGAATAGTCGTGTAGAGATGCGCTGATTTTTTAGATCATGCTCATCAGTTGATGGTGGTACAGACGGGAACAAGTTGTACGTACAAACATACTTTTTTACTGTGCACATAAAGACATGTATTTGCTGTGTATCAAGTCCTTTCATAGAACGATAGAAAAATGGTAAATGCGCATGGTCACATAGAGGAATCTGTATTCTTACTCGTATTCAATGTTCTTGCTTGCTTTTTCCTTCGCAGGAGCATCACTGCTCGTGGTACAATCAGTTTCAACACTGTAATCAAACCACCTAATAGTCCGATGATTGTTGTAACTATGTAAACTGTACCGTTCTTCGTTTCAACAGTATAGGTACAGATTGATGGATTGCATGCATTGTAATAGTTCTCGTACTGTGTCGAGTCATTCCATTGTTCGACCATTAGTTGATCAAGGAGCTGTTCGATCGTCGAGTTTGCAGTAAACCGAACTAATAATGATAGATGCAGGGGCTCGGAATCTATTGATAAATGAGACATAAAATAGGATTTTACGTCGTCAATACAAGTTCCGTTATAAAAACATCGAAGATCTGATTGAAGTAATGCTTCCACTAGAAAACATCCCGTATACATGCCCGATACATAGAGTGATACAAGATCAGACGAGTTAATATATATTCGGGACTGATAAGCACACTGGGATGAAGACCCACAATCACAATCATTATATTTGGAGACAATGGACGCTGCGTGAGAATATGATCGTTCGCTGCCCAGCAAATAATAATTAGTAAATTGCCCAGAAAGTAAAGCATTACTTTTGGTTGCATTTCTGATTGTGATAAGTGACAACCGAAAGTCGTTAGTCGTCGATAAGATGAACTGTGAAGTGAATGCTTGAGCTTGAGAATACAGCACTTTCATTGGCGTAACAGTTCCACTTACATATCGAGTGGTATAGAATTGAGATAATCTATTCCGAATCGTCGCAGTGACTAAGTAGCAGAATGAGCTCAGTCCTTCAAACATTGATGTGCTAACTAGTCGAAAATCATCCAAGTGTGTTGTGGAATTTGTGCGAAAAGTAGCAAGATAGTCGATCCATTGTTGAGTGACGAGAAAGCTGCTACATACCTGGTGGAATGAGTATTTTATTTTAATGAAAGTCTCATAACTGATTGATATTTGTGTGCATGCACAAGAAAGTGTTTGTGGATACGATGAATAATAGGAGGAGTATTCGTGAAGGGATGGCGAGTTGATGTAGACAGTTTGTGTAATGGTGACTAGTGAGTTGTAGAGAAGTAGAATGGTTAATGATATGACGAGAAGGAGAATAAATAGTCGTGTAGAGATGCGCTGATTTTTTAGATCATGTTCATCAGTTGATGGTGGTACAGACGGAAATAGATTAAGGTTCTTCACAAACAATTTGATTTTTATACATAATTCCGAAAGGTTCATAGTAAGTCTCATTTTCTAAATGAAAATTTAGAGGCAAGATGAATGCGAGTATTAGCAGCGCAGTGACTGTGTACAATATGAAGAATATTTTGGAAATAAATCGTAGAATATTCTATCAAATGAAAAATGAGAAAAAAGTAAAGTTGGGTATTATTGAGTTTAAAATATCACTTTGATGGATAATGTTGTTGGGCGGAAATGAAAAATAATTATAAACGGAGTGGCATTATTATTTCGATATTTAATTGAAAAAAAAAGGCGAAGTGGTTTTTATTCTTTTGACTGGAAATGAGATTTTATAATAATAACTTGAAGAAATCTACACCAGGTAAAATATATAGTCAAATCAGGTTTTCGAGTTACATGGTATTTTTTCAAAGAGAGGTTGCACTTTTTGACATACTTGTCAGTAAGGGAAGATATAGGATTATAAGTTTCTCCTATACAATATTCTCTATAAACATAGATAGCCGGTGTTAGGTGCATGTGAACCATGCAACGATATAATTGTGTTTCTATTGATGAACATCTATTCTGATTCAACGTTGCTCGATTCATTGGTGAACCGTTTGAACAATTGAACTGACATTTTGAGAGATTGAAAGCTTTGACAGACACTCTTCAAAAGAAATAAAAGTACGCCATTATCTCAAATTCAGTATATTGCTATTCACAGTACCATCGTTGCATTGAATTTACTCAAAAAGAATATTAGAGTAAAAGTAGAGCTTACTCTTTTTTATCATGTTTCGATTGAGACCGGCTTTTATCGTTTTAATCTTCGACATGTTGGTTTTGAATTCGAGTATTCGAATTAACAAACTATCTTCTTGTATTTATATCCCATTATCTTCGCCTACAAACCCATCAGCGTTGTTTAATTATTCATTCAGTTGTGAAGAGTGTTTATGCTATAAATATAGTTCAGCGAGTAATTCTGTTGCGATGAATTGTTTGACCAACGCACATTTATGTCAATTCTATTCAAATTATGCAAATAATTATTCGATTGTATGGAATTCGACAAGTGACTTTTACTTTTTCCAACCATTACCATCGATGATCACCACGCCAACGATGACATCAACTTCGCCAAATCCGGAAATTATGTCGACTGATGTTACTATTCCATCAGCAGTGTCGACAACATCCTCGACTTCGTATCAATGTGGTAATATGACAGTTCTTATTGGCTATGATTTCTACGGTCATGATTTGGCTTTAGCTACTGCTCCAGACTACACCACTTGTTGCCACTGGTGTCAAAGTAACAGTAGTTGTACTACATTTACATGGATTGTGCCAACGGGAGGCGGAACTAGCTCAACTTGTTATCTCAAAACAGGCCATACATCACCGTCTAACAATTCGAGACTTGTCAGTGCATATAAATAAAAATACTGTGTATTACGAGTAATGTCACGAATAATAGTTTTGATCGTGGCTATTCTTGAGGATGAAAATTACGACACATGCCATAATCATGCAAAAGATGATCTCGTAAATGTAAATAGTACATTGCTTTTCTAATTGTCATGCATCCTTTATCACATCATTCAAACATAGATAAACATCACGGGAAAAGATGATGCTTATTGTTGTAAGAACAGTACAACGATGCGCAAAGACGGTGTTCTGATCGGCACACTGTGAGGTGGGTTTGCACGTTCTCTCTGTGCTGGCTTGTGTCTAAATGAAGCGTATTCACGAGGTTACACTCAAGCTGATCGATGGGTATGCTACAAGAGTGATCCGAATGTCGAAGATGCATCAGTAACTGTATGTAGAGTGGTAAGCGATTACGTGGGACAAGCATGTAATGGATTACCATTGTGAACATGTCCATTTGGATATTACGCAGTTGACTATCAATAGGAATGGGATTGGCATGCTTGTTTCAAAAAGTAGATTATCTCTATTGTTACTTTTGTTTGATAATAAAGAGTACGATCGAATCGAGCAAAAGTTTGGAAATGATACAAGTAACTCTGTTTGAATTTGAGTACTCGTGATATGGCTAACATATAAATGCATAACAGTCATGTTTTTATCGTACATATATACTTTTGAGAGTAGAAAATCATGACAGAAAGTACGGGCTAGGTTTGAAAGAAATGCGTCGATAATCAACGGGGAGTGAAACCGGAAATCGCTTTCATATTTATATGTTTCTAAATGCAAGACGCGGTGCATTATTTTACCATATGTGGAAATTTTGCTGTAAATTCCGTCACATCCATTATTGTATCAAATACAAAAGGGGGCAGGGGTGTCGTTTTGTCTTTCTACATGGAACAGAAGAAAATGAATAGAACGGAAGTAACTGCAGTAACTAATAACAAACAATCTGATATTTTTTCCAGTGACATCTTTTATTCTATAACGAAAATAAAATAAAATTTGTAAATTTAAGTTATTCTTTCAAAAATCTCATGTGGAAAAACTATTCACTCGGACTATATTAATCTACCAATCAGACGTATGGATTGAATAGTGAATAGTTCATTTATTGCTTGGAGATTTCCAACTAAAGTATTCTACGACGCTTCATTGTTATTTTGGTAATTCCTCTACAAACATATCCCTGTAACACGAAGGCAGTCATAGAATTTGATATATCAAACAGTTGGCAAGTATTGTATGCTACTCGTAGTGATGCTATATTCGATTTTTTAACACACGCTGAATACTCTTCTCATATTACTTCCTTGTTAGGTGTAGTTGATTTCTATTTTGATATTAAAGATTATTGTGTGTTCTCGTAAGACTCGAACTGAGGAACTTCCGCCTCTCATTATAGCAAAGTATTGTATTTGACAGATCTTATTTTATTAGTTTTGATCTTTTAGTTGCAAATCGGTATTGGCTATGAGCGTACTTAACGTTAGATATTTGAAAACACCATTTGAAGAACGATCAGCAGAATCATCAAATGTTTGTAATCACGACTCAAAAGCCGTTAAAGTTTCACATAGACGGAAGATATTGGCGCTACACGAACCGGTTGATCGCCTTGAACATCCGCAATTACAATATTTTCATTCAGGTTTGCCTACTTATGAATAGAAGGCGTTAGCTAATTTAAATAATAAACGACCGACAAAAACCTTCTATTACTGCTTTAGTGAATCGTGTATTTGTTGGAATCGTAATATTAGCGAATATGAATTCAATGCCGAATATTCCATTTTCGGTCTCAGAAACTTTCGTTAAAGTCGACATCCCAATTCAAATCTTTGCTGAAGAAGAAGCATTATTTGTGACGATCAAGTCAAACTCATCGACGAAATATTTCTGTATTTTTAATTCTTCGTCAAATACACAGCATTTAATGGAGCGACTACATTCNAATCGTGTATTTGTTGGAATCGTAATATTAGCGAATATGAATTCGATGCCGAATATTCCATTTTCGGTCTCAAAAACTTTCGTTAAAGTCGACATCCCAATTCAAATCTTTGCTGAAGAAGAAGCATTATTTGTGACGATCAAGTCAAACTCATCGACGAAATATTTCTGTATTTTTAATTCTTCGTCAAATACACAGCATTTGATGGAGCGACTACATTCGTGTTCAAATGTTGTATATCTCTATACACTATGCGAAACCGAACAACTGGAACATCAACGACGAATAACCAGAAGTTATGCCAAGTTTGAAGCAGCCTATGATGATATTCTTCGTTTACTAATCAAAGTTGCAAGTGATGTAGCATTGTTCTGCGAAGAGACAGCTGATCGGCAAAGAAGTAACAAGGCAACGATAGATCAGGCGAAGAGAAACTATCAACGTGCACTCGAACTGTATGCATTCGTAGAAACGACTGTATGATATTTATACGGCGGATATTGGCTACAGACATATTAAATTCTAAGAAATGCTTCTTTAGAAAAAATAAAAGTCCCGAGGATGATGAGATTCTCAAATATTTGAAATCGACTTTTGCTTGATTACTTTCAGATCGGTAGTTCAAAATTATTCCATTAGTGGCTTCAGCGGACCAACTATTTCCGGTAAAAGAAATTTTAAAATGAAATAACATTTCAAGTTATTATTTTTATTCTATACGATTGAACAGCATGGGTAGTGAAATGAATTCACTTTTAAATTCCCACGCTGTTTTCATTCAGACACCCAATTCCGAAACGAAATATTTTCGAAATTTTGTGGGAGCCGAAGACTACGTATGCTCCAATGTGAAAGGTATGGATTTCTTTATAATATGGCTGTCTGACCAATACGTAGAGCAATTTATTCAATCTCGTATTATCGATTTCCCTCAGTTGAAACGTGCAAATATTTATCTTAGCACAGAAGTCGACATGGCATCAGTTTCCCAGTACTATGCTGGAAAATATTCTAAACTTAGTTTTTGTCTGGCATCCGAAGTGTCGAACCGTCTTCGGCAGGCTGCTCTTGGAGATTGTTTAAATTCCTCGTCGTTACTTGACCGAGATCGGGTAAAATCAACGATGACTCGTGCAAAACAAGGAATATCGCAGAAGATGGAGAGTCTAGAAATAGAATTACATACCAACGCTCATTCATCCGATAATGGAGGAAGAACTTCAGTTTTGGATGGAAAAGTCCCAGCAAATTATCTTTGCACACTTTGTTCGGGTATTCTGAGAGATCCTATGCAACTAATGTGCTGTGGTTCTCGTATATGTGAATCATGTGTTCTATTCAACAATGGTAAATTGTACTGGATGCTTACGATACACAGAAGCTATTTGTTTATCTGTTCATAAAGGTACTACAACATGTCCAACATGTCAATGTATTGTAACACAAGCTATTGTAAGATCTTTCTAATTTACTTATCAAATCATGCATTGGAAAGCTTTAAGGTAATGCGAGACCGTGGTCACAAAAGAGACATGGAAAATAGTCATATTTCATGCAGTTTTTGTACATGGAATGGCTCTTTAAATATGTATCAGGTAAAACTCGATTGTTGTACATATGTAGTGTGAAGCAAATGCAATCGAAAGTGCACGAAAATTTATAGCACTAATAGAAGAATGTGCCCTCCTGTCTTACTGAACATTGTAGTATCAATTCCAATCGAGAATGGATGCCAATCAAATTTTAAGTACATGCGTTTGTTCTTGAAATCTGATTGTCCTTCACTGTAGTCGATACTACTTTTGTAGGAATATCAGACACTAAGGTTAGCGCATTCCATAAGTTACATCGATATGCTGATTTGAGATATCACTTCAAGATTTACACCTCAAAATAGTCCCGAAAAATGCATCATCAATCTTCAAAGCATGAATAGAAACATTTGTAAAACTGAAGTAGAATAGAATAAATATTATTTCTTATATAGATCTACAAGGGGAACATTGATTTCTCTTTCTAAGTGTATAACTTTTGTATTGTTGTTCTTTTTAGGATCATCTCCAAGAACATCATTACATGAATATAAATGATGCTGCTACTGCGAACTTGAATCAAATGAGACTACAAGAAGCTATGAACAAACCACTCTTGAAACCTTCCAACTTAATCTATGAAGAAAAACCCATTACGTCCAGCGAAGTTATAGTGATATGGATTGTTACTGATGCGCAATCCAAAATACGTAAGACCCCATGTGAAATTTTTTTGAGTGTAAACGCGTTTAAAACGCGTTTCGGATACGTTTCAGACGCATGGTACAAACGTACCAAACGCGACGGAAATGAAACATTTGATGCATCTAGACGCAACCCGGGAACGCGTGTAGATGCGTTTAACGAACGTGTTTGCACGCGGTTGCTGATGGAAACCGGNTCTATTACTGCTTTAGTGAATCGTGTATTTGTTGGAATCGTAATATTAGCGAATATGAATTCAATGCCGAATATTCCATTTTCGGTCTCAGAAACTTTCGTTAAAGTCGACATCCCAATTCAAATCTTTGCTGAAGAAGAAGCATTATTTGTGACGATCAAGTCAAACTCATCGACGAAATATTTCTGTATTTTTAATTCTTCGTCAAATACACAGCATTTAATGGAGCGACTACATTCTTGCTCAAATGTTGTATATCTCTATACACTATCCGAAACCGAACAACTGGAACAGCAACGACGAATAACCAGAAGTTATGCCAAGTTCGAAGCAGTCTATGATGATATTCTTCGTTTACTAATCAAAGTAGCAAGTGATGTAGCATTGTTCTGTGAAGAGACAGCTGATCGGCAAAGAAGTAACAAGGCAATGATAGATCAGGCGAAAAGAAACTATCAACGTGCACTCGAACTGTATGCATTCGTAGAAACTACTGTATGATATTTATACGACGGATATTGGTTACAGACACGTTAAATTCTAAGAAATGCTTATATAGAAAAAATAAAAGCCCCTAAAAAGATGAGATTCTCAAATATTTTAAATCGACTTTTGCTTGATTACTTTCAGATTGGTAGTTCAAAATTATTCCATTAGTGGCTTCAGCAGACCAATTATTTCCGGTAAAAGAAATTTTAAAATTAAATAACATTTCAAGCTATTATTTTTATTCTATACGATTGAACAGCATGATTAGTGGAATGAATTCACTTTTAAATTTCCACCCTCATGCTGTTTTCATTCAGACATCCAATTCCGAATTGAAATGTTTTCCAGATTTTGTGGGAGTCGAAGACTACATATGCTCCAATGTGAAAGAGATGGATTCCTTTATAATATGGATATCTGACCAATGCGTAGAGCAATTTATTCAATCTCGTATTATCGATTTCCCTCAGTTGAAACGTGCAAATATTTATTTTAGCACAGAAGTCGACATGGCATCAGTTTCCCGGTACTATGCTGGAAGATATTCTAAACTTAGTTTTTGTCTGGCATCCGAAGTGTCGAACCGTCTTCGACAGGCTGCTCTTGGAGATTGTTTAAGTTCCTCGTCGTTACTTGACCGAGATTGGATAAAATCAACGATGACTCGTGCAAAACAAGGAGTATCGCAGAAGATGGCGAGTCTAGAAATAGAATTACATACGAACGCTCATTCATCCGATAATGGAGGAAAAACTTCGTTTTTGAATGGAAAAGTTCCAGCAAATTATCTTTGTACACTTTGTTCGGGTATTCTGAGAGATCCTGTGCAACTAATGTGCTGTGGTTCTCGTATATGTGAACCATGTGTTCTATTCAACAATGGTAAATTGTACTGAATGCTTACGATACACAGAAGCTATTTGTTTATCTGTTCATAAAGGTTCTACAACATGTCCAGAATGTCAACGTATTGTAACACAAGCTGAAGTAAGATCTTTCTAGTTTACCTATCAAATCATGCATTGGAAAGCTTTAAGGTAATGCGAGACCGTGGTCACAAAAGAGACATGGAAAATAGTCATATTTCATGCAGTTTTTGTACATGGAATGGCTCTTTAAATATGTATCAGGTAAAATTCGACTGTCGTACACATGTAGTGTAAAGCAAATGCAATCCAAAGTTTACGAAAATTTGTGGTACTAATAGAAGAATGTGCTCTCCTGTCTTACTGAACATTGCAGTATCAATTCCAATCGAGGATGGATGCCAGTCAAATTTTGAGTACATGCGTTTGTTCTTGAAATCTGATTGTCCTTCACTATAGTCGATACTACTTTTGTAGGAATATCATACACTAAGGTTAGCGCATTCTATAAGTTACATCGATATGCTGATTTGAGATATCACTGCAAGATTTACACCTCGAATAGTACATAGCTGTCATAACATAATTACGCTGGGTATCCAGAGCTGAACGCCTCGATACCCACGAGGATAACCAAATTGACTTCATCTGCTGATCTCGTTATCCGTTACCGGATAACCAAAGTATATCTTTTGAGATGTGAGGAATTTGAGTGAATTTGATAGGACTATCTTGCGACCACAAATCAAAACTACATACTTCTGAACCATCTTGATGGTATAGGTATGAGGGAAAAAACCGATCTGCAGGCAAAGCACAAGATGAGGGTGAGGGGAAAGCTTGGTACGCGGGCTAAAGCCTTTTAGGGTTTTCACTCCAACAAGTGATACCTCGACGAGGGCTTCGTATGCTCAGCAACTTAGGCGTACAGTACCGAATTACATTCTCTTCTGGATTCTCATAGCTCTTGCTGCCTTTGATACCATTAAGTGTTTCCATTAGGCTCTAGTCTTGAACAGCAACTTCTTCAGAGGCCATTCGTCCATATCCATCTCGTTACCCGCTGGGTATCGACCAAATTCACTCAAATTCCTCCGTATTCTGGATATACCGTTGTCGATTTTTAAACGGATACCCGGGGTAATGATATTATGACATCACTTAAATAGTACCGAAAAATGCGTCATCAATCTTCAAAGCATGAGTAGAAACATTTGTAAAACTGAAGTAGATTAGAATAAATATTATTTCTTATATAGATCTACAAGGGAAACACTGATTTCTCTTTCTAAGTGTATAACTTTTGCATTGTTGTTTTTTTAGGATCATCTCCAAGAACATTATTGCATGAATATGAATGATGCTGCTACTACGAACTTGAATCAAATGAGACTACAAGAAGCTATGAACAATCCACTCTTGGAACCTTCCAACTTAATCTATGAAGAAAAACCCATTACGTCCAGCGAAGGTACACTGACATGGAATGTTACTGATGCGCGATCCAAAATAGGTAAGACGTTATTTTGAGCTCAAATGCCTTTTAGGTAGAAGTCCTTGGCAAAAGTTTCAAAAATTTGCCTCAATCAATGAGGGTTAAAAAGTGTCACATGATTTCTTTGATAATTTCAGTGGAAAATATTCAAACAGTAGATCTATCAGAATTCCAATAACATAAGTTTTATATTTCTAGCCGGTCTTACGTTTGAACGCGGAACATCAATAGATTCTCCAATATTCTACACATCTCCTACCGGTTATAAAATGCTTGCTCGATTATTTTCATATGGTAATGATAGAGATAGCCGGGCGCATTTATCTGTTTTCCTCACATTGTTGCAAGGTGAATATGATGCTATTCTTCGTTGGCCTTTCCCTTATAATGTAGCGTGTTGCCTGTTTGACCAAACTAATCGCTCTCGTCATATTATCGATATGTTTCGTCCAGATACAAATTCAATTAGCTTTCAAAGACCGTGTAGTGATACGAACGTCGCTAGTGGAATACGAAAGTTCTGTCCATTGGCATTGCTGCAGAACGAAGACAGTCCCTATATTATAGAAGATACAATGTTTATTAAAATTACGGTTGATTTTGTTGGCATACCGCATGAACTTCTACCTGATATGTTTAAGATGGATCCCGGTTTACCACCGCACGTTCAACATTCTAGAATTAATGATATCAGTACCAATTTTCAAGCAATTCAATCTACTCATGTTGCGGAAATTTTACAAGCTGAGCGTCAGATATCACAAAATGCCCAACGTCCGCTATCGACGACCTCACCTTCGATACAAACGCTGCATGAAGATTCAGCCGCAAGTTCATTATCGGCTGAATATGACGACGAAGATTCTGAAACCGAACAGTCGCATGAGTGCCGCTGAATAGAGCACCAGTAATCTATATTTTCTTTAAACAAATGAATGGAATTAATCATTTTAAATATAAGTTAACTAAAATTGCGATACTCATGCTTTTCATGTTAATAGTTTACGATCAGTTCTGTTCTGTGACAGATATAAATCGTCGACACAGAGTATACTTGAAAGCAGCGCTTTAATAACTGTACTCGGTTCTCTGATAATTTTTTAGGATGTGAGGGCGCGACTGGAGACTAATTCACAGGGGTGCACCACTCGCGCTTCCCATGAGAGCACGATCGCTCACGTTCACAAATGAATCGAATCACTCACTATGAAGCATTAAATATTTCGTGACGTAATTTGAAATATTCTTAATCTATTTAAACAGAAGAACGATAAAAACGTAACACAACCCTGCCTGAAACGAAACTGTTCATAGGATAATGAGTATATTTAGAAGCTCAGTCAGGAACATTTGGAAGAAATTATACTTCTTCTTTTGCTGATCTGCATATGAATACAACATGTTTTCCTTCGTTTTTTCATCATAGACGAAAAGAAACGCGAACATGAATCTTTCACAAAGATTACAATGACTGACAGTAGGTGTGAGCTGATTATGAAACTTTGAATCAGTTCAATGACGTAGTATATACGTTACCGAAAATACCACAGAAAGTACAAACATGGGCATGTTTACAACGGTGTGTGCATTTTTGATGAAATACAACCGAAAGAAAAAGTAAAGATATAGAAGTTTATTAATTTTAGCTACAGAATTTTGTGTCCAGAGTAAACATGTAACAGAGACACTACCTCTTGGTGAATAGTCATCTACGAGTACTGATGTTCTCCTACGTCGAATAGGCGGTGAGTTGTTAGCAGTTTCTTTTCAAATCAAAAACTATGATGATCCCATGTATTTATTGATCAAAAATGAAATAAAATACAATTTTATGTGAATAGTTCTTGAATTGAGGATGTGCATCATATCTCACCATAGACTGGTATGCTCACAATTACACATAAAGAATTAGACAAATATTATCAGCTGTAGCACTATTATAACCTCCTACAGTCGTGACCATAGTCATTAATACTGTGAAATAGCGAGCTCTAGCTGGTACTGTACCATTAACCTGTCGAAATAAAAGCGTTGTCACATTTTTTCGATCTGCAGCGAGAACTGGTCCAAGGGTAGATACACTTCCCACCATGGCATATGTTGCATTACTAAAAGTCAAACTAATTCGTGCATTATCATCTTGATTTATATATCCACCAAGCCATGCAGAGAAACTGAACTTCACTGTACGATTGTTAATAGGTCCGAAATTAATATAATCATTTACATCTCCTGTTTGTTGCATTGTTGTAGATGCCGATGTATAACCTCCAAAATAACAATTTCCATAATCACTAATCAAGAACAAAGTTGAACAATATGATTTCAAATACTTCTTACCTCGGTGTTGGACTTGATTTTAGAAATGCATTCAAAGCAGTACCATTATAGAACGTTTGTGAAAGACTCCCATTAACAAACCATAATGGGGGACTTGCTTGAGCAGTAAACGGTGTACAGCTGCCGGTTTCGGCGTCGCCATTCTTTATCAAATTTCGCGTAATCACTAAATTAAATATTGTCTTTGTATTAACACATGTCAAAACAATCGTGTAGTATTTTTTGCGAGAATAGCTCTTTACAACTCAACCCTTACATTCTTCTTTAATAAACTTACTGGAAGTGATAGTAGTGGCTGATGAGCTCGCGGTCATTGCAGTCGTTGAGATTGTCGTTGTGCTGGTGACCGTTGGATTCGCCGTACTTGCTATAAACAAATAAAAGAACTAGATATTTTACGGCAGTGACTTTCATCATTTGTAACTTGAGCAAATAATATCACTTTTTTCAGAATATATTACTCCGTTCATTTTTTTTCTTCTGCTTACGCATGAATGGTGATCTACCAGAGATTGCTATCATAGTTATGACACCTGCTTGCGCTATTAATTGACCATATTGACTCGGTAGGTTAGAAAATAATTCACACCGTTTCGTCATTTTCTCATACGATATTGTGCAGCACTGTGTATTGCTTAAACAAAGGATTTGACATTGTCGAAGATTTGAGTAAGAAACATTGATCGAAGCTGAACAATCAGAGGTATTGCATTGATATTTCATATCGTTCACTTGTGATAATAAGAACGAACGAATATCTTCCGCGTTTATGAATGTTACGAGATGAAAAACAAACACTATTTGGATCTTATTCATATTGATACGATAGAGAGAATGATGAACACTAGTTTTTAAAATACAAAAAAAGGAAAGGTTGTTTGGTAAATATCTACTTAATTCTTTTTTAGTAGTTGCTTAGGCGTCTCCGTCGTTCATTTTATAATAACAATTGCCGTCGAACTCTTTCCTCAGTATTAAGTAGGTGTTGCATTTAAACAACGATAAATAATAAATACTTCTGGAGAGATCTATTCGGCTATTCTCGAAGAATTAAACTTTCCCATTTGACAGCTGCGCTCTTTTAACACTTCTCGATACTCTATACAGACTATGCTGTGCATCGACGACGAGCAACCCTATTAATAGTAAAAGTAAAAATTGGAAAAAGTCAAACGGTTGAGTTAAAACATGCATTTTAATCTTAATTCTATTCATTGGATTTCATCTAAGATATATCATCGCGCGTGACAAAAAGAAGCGAATTTAATTATATGTTTTATGAAAAAAAATTAGTTACTGTATATCCGTATATTTATATACCATACAATACGGTATCAATCAGCGGCCATCAGTAACCACATGTATAGATGCAAATGCATTTTTCGAATAAAGCTCTATCGAAATTCTCTTACAAAATGGATGATAAAAATCGCACCTTAACGCACAAACTACACGTCGCAATAAGTTGGTTACTCATAGAACAAAAACACACCTGTGCAGTATGGGAAAGTCGAAGGTTGACTCCTACGCATGGTAAGCATATTTTCACCGTCATACACTTCAATCAATTGACGTTGTCCCATTCAAAGAGTATAAATACAAATCTCATTGTCACTTACAACTTATTCACATTCAAATATTTACATATTCGTTTTCGTATCATGTACAAAGCATTGCAAATCTTCGTATTATGTATATTTGTCGTTTGTATGACTACGGCAGATAATGGAGAAAAGGAACTCAGTACGGATATTGGACAACAGTCACACAATGGATCTTTTCTGCCACCAGGTCAGTAAAATCTCTTGATTTTCGTTTCAATCTCTTCTTGATATCTTTTTATAGAACTCACCAACGGAGGACTCAATCTGAAAAATATTTTCGATTCATTCTTTTCATATAAATTATTAAACCGTCAGAGACGAGCCTCGTCAAACTTTCAACAAGAAATGTTAAATTCTCATAACAAATACCGTGCGCGCCATTGTGTTCCTGCTCTTCAGCTTGACAGTGGACTTACTCGTTCAGCTCAAAGTTATGCCGAGAAATTAGCACGAATCAATCAAATGGTCCATAGTAGTACACCAAACCTTGGAGAAAATCTCTATATGATGAGAAGCTCAGTCAGATTAGGAAATATTAATGGTAAGTTAATTTGAATTGATCTAAAACGAATCCACCCGCTGTTTTTAGGTGGCCAAGCTACTGATAGTTGGTATAATGAAGTAAAACAATACAATTATGGTCGTCCGGGATTTTCAATGGCAACAGGTCATTTTACACAAGTAGTTTGGAAATCAACTAAACGAATTGGTGTTGGCTATGCGTTTACCAATGATGGAAAAACAGTTTATGTCGTTGCTCAGTATTCTCCTCCAGGAAATTATCAAGGACAGTTTCCAAATAATGTTCTTCAAGCTAGATGCTAATCATTTGCTTTTGTGTTAATAAATTTCTTTTGTTTCGGATTACTCAATGAAGAAGCTCTTGACTTCATGGAGAGAGAAAGAGATTGCGACGATAACGAATATAATCGTCGACTCTTTTCTATTTCGGTCACGTGGGCTAGTGTTCGTTGGTATTTATGAGAATCTACACAGCTGATCCACTGAATAAAAATACATGAAAACAAAGCGCGTAGCAACAGAATGTCACTGCTACTCATTCTTATTAGCTTCGTCTATTTACGTCTAATAACAGCAGAAGAAGAGTGTCTTATCGGATACTATTGTGCTCATAATGGCACGATCGACAGTTATTGTGATCTGAAAATGGGACACTCGGCGATGAGTTCTGCAGGACAGTCAATGTGTATTCCGGATTTGAAAATTAAGAATGTGTTTGGTAACGATGCTCGGGTTCAGGTTACTTCAAAGGACTATCCATGGCGTGCAATTGGATATCTAAATACCGGATGTACAGGAACGTTAGTTGGACGTGATTTGGTATTAACTGCAGCTCATTGTGTGATCGATTCAAATACTCAACAACTGAATAATATTAGGACTTTCTATCCGAATCGAATGAATGGAAAGGCGGAAGATTCGTCAGAAATCTCTTGGGTTTGGTGGGGAACAACGAAACCAGATACGTATCGTGAAGATGATTGGGCTCTTTTACGTTTGACGAAGCCATTGGGTGATCAATACGGATATTTTGGATATAAAACGCTTGACGACAGTGCAATGTTAGCTGCGCAGGGAACATTAGTGGGATATTCAGTGAATTTTCACAACGGTCAAACAGCTGGAGCACACATCGGATGTCGCATTACGAAGAAACTACGTAACAATTTCTATCTTCACAATTGTCATAGTGGTCGAGGATCCAGTGGCGGTCCGATTTTTGCATTCTGGGATAACAGTCCATATATTTACGCTTTGAACGTAGCTGAGTATAGAAATGGCGGCACAGAAAGTTTATGGTTATCTCAATATACGGAAACAAATGCCAATATTGCTATATGGTCGCAACAACTCTTTCAAAAGATTGACGAACTTCGAAAGTCTTGAAAACGTATTGAGGCACTTAATAAAAGTGAAGAAAGTTTTGTTCATGGGTGTTCGCACATCATCATGTATTTTTGACAGCTTCAATAGAGATCTTAGACGATTCCTCTATTCCGTTACGTATTAAAAAGATATTTCGTATTCAATCAACTTTTCGGAGGTGTTACAGGCATTTTCACAACATACCTTCGCATCATTCTCCATCTGTTTTCTCTTATCATTCTTCTGCATTCTCCTTTGCTCTGTTTTCGAATAAACAGATTCAGTTTCGTCTTTCGAGCGAAGGCAACGCTAATAACATCAGTTAATACAGAATCATCAGTAGTACAAGAAAACATTCAACGAAATGAACAAACAATAATTGGTTCAACTACTGATCAAGCAGCTTCTCTTTCTGTTAAATCAGTTCAGCATAAAATAACAAAAAAGAAGAAATGTAATACGAATAAACAATCCAGTTTTATCAATAAAAATAATATTCATCAAGTGGATTAATTTGAATCTATAAGAAATGATTCAGTGGATTATACTATTATATCTAACCCAGATCGAACAATCCCATACTCGGATCCCTCGTCGGATTCGAAACATGGATTTTCTAAGGGTCATCATAGAACATAGCTAAAAAGATCGCTCATAAAATTTGCAACAACCGACGGGATTTTTTCAGTCGGATTCGGTGAGATCCGATCGGATTCAGCATCGGATTTGTTGACCTGGGAAGTTGATTTTTTCCGTTTAAATTAAAAAAGATTAATAAGAATGCCATATTTTCAATATTTCTCACTAAACTTCTTAAAAGTGCGTAAGAGACGTAATAAGCTAAATCCATCTATCACTTTTAGGTCATTTAGTTCTTCTCTTATTCAAGTAATGGGCATATTTTGACACTTATTCTCTGGCTATTATGATTTATAATGTAATTTCGATAAATTAAATGCTGATTATTAAGAATAGAACGTAAATATACGATCTTGGTCTTATGTGTTGTTAGGTACTCGGTGATCAACACAAAAACATTCAATTGAGTACAGATTCAGGTGGTGACGTAGTTTTTTCGAAATTGCAAAGGTTTTGACAATCAGGAAAATTTCATCAAAAGCATGAGGGGAGTGTCAAATTTTCATCGATAAGTCCATGAAAGCCTGATCTTTTTTTTCAAAAATCTACATATATTCTGGAAGAGGGCGCTTCGCCACATCTTCTTATCGGAAAAAAATCGGGGTTTTGTAGGTGGCCCGCCTTAATTTCATCCAGAAACTATTGAATTTTTTTGTGTAATTGTGACTAAAAATATTATTTTATGATTGTTTATTTACATTTGATGTAGACAGTGCACAAAACAAAAGTATTGTTTAAATCAGCAATAGTTATCGTTAAACAAAGTGTTCAGTTCATGAAGGGAAAAGCGAAAATTTCCGTAGTCCACCAATACTTCAAAGTTGCAGTAAGATGAAGTATTTGGCTTTTATTTAGATTGGTTTCATATCAGGTACTGTCAAATTGATGCTCGTTTGATGTACATGTATGTAAGACTTCAAATAGGTAAAAACATTTTGGCGATATTTCTGAAATGCCTGTAAAATACAGCGAAGTACGGAAATTTTCACGTTTCCTCCTTGATTCAGTCTCGTACCCAAATCCCCCGCTAGTATTTCGGGCGCACTTCGCCGTACTTCAGACGTACTTTATTTTACTTTACACGCTGCTCAAGGTAAATGAAGTCTCGCCTGTATTCAAATAGATTCACAATGTTCATACATTTTTCTGTGCCAAAAAGCGAAATAGAAAAGCAAGCATGACAAGCAATCACAATAACTTTAAATTGTATGCTCCCCCCACCCCCGCCTTCTTACTCATTTTCTTGTTCCACCTAATAATAGAAGAAAAGAACAGGGAGTATTCATGTGTATAAAAACATGCTTGCTCTCTATGTCGTTGCTCATAAACAAGCAACTGAAACAAGAAAATTGATACCTGTATACTTTACAAATAATGACCGGTTTTCGAAAGACAGTATTAAACTTATTGGAAGCTTTAGTAAATGAAACAGTCATTACAATCGAATGGAAAGATCAAGATACAATTATAGCAATCATTCCAGATGTCAATAATTCTGCCATCCAGCATTCAATTGTTGCAAACTGCAAAAGAAAAATCTTCTCGAATGAGGTGGAAAATTTTCAGTGGGAAACGATTTTGGTTGATAATCATACCATTCAAAATATAAATGTTTTTACACAGTTAGGTTTTAATGAAGAACAATGCGCAATCCTCAAGCAGAATATTGATGCAACTGATTATCTTGAAGCGATTTATGAACAATGCCGATCGTTACGACCTAAAATACTGGAATCTATTGACAAATTACTTGGAACATCTTTTTGCTCCACATTTGATCCCATACAACCAAAAGCTTACGCTATTTTATTAGCACAATTACCAGCGAGAGAAGCACTGTTGATTAGTGAAACATGTGGTAATGTCGATGGTTCGACAGGAAATCCACTTAAAAATGTTATGTTTGGTTCCAAGCCAGGTACAATTGAACATCATCCAATGTCAGTGTCAGCTATACATGGTACTTCCCAACTTCTTTGTGTTTCTCACTCAAGCGTGAATACAAGAGAAGCAGGTGTTATTCCAATACATTTGTTAAATGATTTAAAATTTTATACAGACAATCATCTAATTCCGATGAATAAATATGCTGTTGAAGTATCCAATAGAGAATCTACTGTACAAAACAAGATCGATGCTTTTGTTTTATTATCTAAGCGAAGTTTCATTCCATTTCATGGTGATTATCAAATCAAGACAAGTTTTCCAGCACAAATCACATCAGAATATCGAGTAATCGATTGGAATACAGCAGAAGATGCCATTGAATGTGCCCGAATCGTTTCTCAACTGGCAACTCTTTCCAGATTACCAAAAAATCTTTGGGTATTACCAACATTGTTCGCTGCTCAAGTCAAAGATGATGACAATACAACATTTTATGTCCGTGGTGGACTTAGAGATGCTTATAGTAATGGGACTATTGTTGGTTTACCAGAACATCTTACACCAATTACGGCTTGCGCTTTAACAGCTCGAAATCTTTTGACACCGGATAAAACCTTGTTTGAAAGTTTTGTTGAATTTGGTTTCGATCCCGTACGTTTGTTTGAAGATATTTCAGATGGAATCATTGGCTCACAACTTCATTTTATAGCTATTCGTTGGGTGCCAGATGCTCATACTCAAAATGTTGCTTACTTATTTGACATGCATGAGAAACGATATGCTGGCATACTTTTAAAAGATTCTGAATGTGAGAAAAATAAAATTATTCGTGATGGTAAACTGGGATCTTTAATATTAAATCCACAATCATCTACATCTCAATCTGAAAAAATATCTAGTGTTAGGACAATTACTTCAACACTTTATTTTCATCATACAATCTACACAAAACATATTGAACCGATGGCATGTCTCTTGCATGAGAAATATCACATTTCGATCGAAGATATTCAGGCCATAGTTCATAATAGTCTAAACTCTTGGTTGGAAAAGAATCCTGAAACGAACATGCACCATAAGATTGATCTATCTGGTCGATACTATGAAAGAAATTTGGCTTGTAAAACATTAAAAATTGGCCCATCACCTTATTATCGCCTAATCCGTGATCATAAACTACTCCCATGTTCTTGATTGCGATGAAATTGCGACGAACACATCGCAGTCGCGACACAATGACCGAATTATCTTGCATCCACATTTCAACATTTCCCCACTAACTATTAAAATAATAACTGGTGATGGAGCCGCCCAAATCAATACCCACCTCACATATTTTGTTAAAAAATAAGAAGCATGCAAGTTTTACAATAAAACCATTTCTAATCAAATACATAATGTTAGGTGGCTCTCTTTGAGAGTCACTTCGGTATATTCTATCTATATATCAAGCGAAACACAAATATATACATACGAGAGAAAAAGAGAGAATCGAGAGAACAAAAGGCGTTAACACATAATATTGCGAAAAACGATTGATCATTAGAGATAGAGAGGGTTCTTTTTTGTCGATAATCATACCTGACTACCATCATTCTCTGCTTTTCAACAACAATAGTTCACCTTTCACTCATTCACGTCACTCACTAACCTATCAATCACCCATGATGCATAAAAAACACTCGCCTGTGACCTATTGGCGATATCTAGTCACCTATAATCGATTGCTATAATACACATCCCTCACTCACAATTTGAAAAATATTATTTCGAACTGTACAATAGTGTCACATACGAAATTTGAATTAAAATATTCGAATAGTCAATTGTTCTCCGCCCTCCTTCAATCCGTATTTTATCCTGATATATTGGCCTTATTTCACTCGATATCTAGAGAGAGATGAACTGTGTACACACAGGTGCTTCACGCCTCACACCGTGATCCCGGAATATAAGGTAATATTTTTTAGGGGTTTGACGTTTTTTGCAAACATTATAGTAATTGACTATTTGAATTAAAGTCTCAAGTATTATTACACGGATGTAAAAGAGACATGAGTTGCCTAATTTGACTTATATTACAAGTAACGCTCGTCTAGCGACTCGCTCAGCTCTTTCTCGTAGAAATCGTGCTTTCAGATATTACACTTTAAAGCTATTATTGTGTACATTAATTTATTTTTAGTGTAGATTAGATATTTTCACGAAAGTAGTAATAGATATTTATACCAAATATCAAATTAAGAATCAGGCNACGCGCGTGGATGCGTTTTTCACGTCAAACGCAACGGAACGCATTTTAAGATCGCGTCCAAACGCGTTCCTTATTTCAGCCGCACCAGAACGCGTTTGTCAGTTGCATCTAAACGCACCTATTTTTCAAAATTTTCGTAAACGCGTTTCGTGCGTTACACAAAATGAAACGCGTTTGCGTTTGAAACGCATCTGCATACGATTGTTTAATATAAACGCGTTCTAACGCATTTATGAGATGCATTTGGACGCGGCATAATAGTATTTGCAATGTCAAGCGCGTTCAAACGCACACCTAAACGCGTTTACACGCGTTTATCCTGCGTTTCAGAGTTACATGGGACGTTATTCTGAGCTCAAATGCCTTTTAGGTAGAAGTCCTTGGCAAAAGTTTCAAAAATTTGCCTCAATCAATGAGAGTCAAAAAGTGTCACATGATTTCTTTGATAATTTCAGTGGAAACTATTCAAACAGTAGATCTATCAGAATTCAAATAACATAAGTTTTATATTTCTAGCCGGTCTTATGTTTGAAGGCGGAACATCAATAGATTCTCCAATATTCTACTCATCTCCTACCGGTTATAAAATGCGTGCTCGATTATCTTCATATGGTAATGATAGCGATAGCCGGGCGCATTTATCTGTTTTTCTCACATTGTTGCAAGGTGAATATGATGCTATTCTTCGTTGGCCTTTCCCTTATAATGTAGCGTTTTGCCTGTTTGACCAAACTAAGCGCTCTCGTCATATTATCGATATGTTTCGTCCAGATACAAATTCAATTAGCTTTCAACGGCCGTCTAGTGATAGGAATGTCGCTAGTGGAATACGAAAGTTCTGCCCATTGGCATTGCTGCAGAACAAAGATAGTCCCTATGTTATAGACGATACAATGATTATTAAAATTATGGTTGATTTTGTTGGTATACCGCGTGAACTTCTACCTGATATGTTTAAGATGGATCCCGGTTTACCACCGCACGTTCAACATTCTAGAATTAATGACATCAGTAGCAATTTTCAAACAATTCAATCTACTCGTGTTGCGGAAATTTTACAAGCTGAGCTGCAGATATCACAAAATGCCCAATATCCGCTATCGACGATCTCACCTTCGATACAAATGCTGCATGCAGATTCAGCGGCAAGTTCATTATCGGCTGAATATGACGACGAAGATTCTGAAATCGAACAGTCGCATGAGTGCCGCTGAATAGAGCACCGGTACTCTATATTTTCTTTAAACAGATGAATGGAATTAATCATTTTAAATATAAGTTAACTAAAATTGCGATACTCATGCTTTTCATGTTAATAGTTTACGATCAGTTCTGTTCTGTGACAGATATAAATCGTCGACACAGAGTACTGAAAGCGGCGCTTTAATAACTGTACTCGGTTCTCTGATAATTTTTTAGGCTGTGATGGCGCGACTGGAGACTAATTCATAGGGGTGCACCACTCGCGCTTCCCATGAGAGCACGATCGCTCACGTTCACAAATGAATCGAATCACTCACTATGAAGCATTAAATATTTCATGATGTAATTTGAAATATTCTTAATCTATCTAAACAGAAGAACGATAAACACGTAACACAACCCTGCCTGAAACGAAAGTGTTCATAGGATGATGAGTACATTAAGAAGCGAAGTCAGAGACATTCTCAAGAGATTATACTTTTTCTCTTCTTTTGCTGATCTGCATAGAGATATAACGTGTTTTCTCCTCATTCTTTCGTTATAGACGAAAAAAGATCGCGAACGTAAATCTTCCACAAGGATCACAATGACTGATATTAGGTGTGACCTGATTATGAAACTTTGAGTCAGTTCAATGCCTGCTACAACTATATCAATTCTCTAAAAA